TTGCTGGAGCAGTATGAAAAGTCAACAGTCTGGTGCCGTAATTTGCCGTTTTCTGAGAGACATGAGCTGTAATTTAATGAAGACTGTGCCATTTTAGTTCGAGAGAAAAGAAAGAAGTTGCATTTTTAACAAAAGGGGAAGAATGGTTTACAGGCACAGCAAGATGGAAATGAAACCATGCTAAAATCCGTTTGTCAAGCATTGAAGTTGCACGATAAAAAAAAGAGTTGTGGGATTATAAAACTCAGTAAATGGCTTACAAAATTGTTGATGAAACTTTGTAAATGAGTATCTTTTGATTACAGAAATATTGCATCTTTATGTAGTCATAGAATTGTTCAGGTTTTAATTAATAAAAAAAATCTCAGTAATCTATTTTGAACTTGGATAGGTTTTATCTTACTGAAATAAAAAGCAAGAGCCACCTGTATTTCCAGTTTCCTCACGCATAATAATGATATCTTTGCTTCCTACAGGGCAAGGCCAGAAAACCATGCAGTCATCAGGGCACAGGTTCCGTGATGTTGAGCACCACCCGCTTCTTGCTGAAAATGACAGCTACGATTCCTCTTCCTCAGAGGCCGACATGGCAGAGAGGGTTTGGTTCATCCGAGATGGCTGTGGTATGGTCTGTGCTATAATGACGTGGCTTCTGGTTGTCTATGCAGACTTCGTAGTGACTTTTGTCATGTTGCTGCCTTCCAAAGACTTTTGGTACTCTGTGATCAACGGTGTTCTCTTTAACTGCTTGGCAGTACTAGCTTTGTCATCGCATCTGAGAACTATGCTAACTGATCCAGTAAGTATGCCATCGTTCCTTGACGTTGGATTGTTCTATCCTGTAGCTCATCACCTGCAGAGAAATTTGGAGAAGTGGTATCAGTCTCCTGCTAGGAAGAGTAGCGTTAGGTGCAGAACCCTCAAGCTGAAGGGATGGTATCTGTACTTTTCCTATTGTTCTGTTAATGAATCCATAAATAATTTTTGACTTGAGGAGCAGGCAGTATAAAATTAATTTATAAGGGAGAGGTAGGCTCATGCGAAATACAGTTTATTTGTTAAATATTAACCTAGGTTCTGAAGAAGCTAACAAAGCTTTAGTCTTTTCTGTCCTAATTTTTCTTACTTTTTTTTCATCAGATCTGTTTTCAAAACTTCATAAGATGTTGTAGCTTCATCCTGTTGTATCATTTGAAATGTCCCTTCCATTTATGGCACATGAAAGAACTTTTAGAGGTAGACATGCTGAAAAACCTCAGTCACATATTGACATAAAGTAAGAACTACTGTCCTACGTGATTCGTGCATTATTGTGTTTAGGTATTTGAAGTCAGCGGGGAGGGAGATTTAAGTTGAACCCGCATTGGAACAGTGCAGGTGTAAGAGATCTCGAAAGTACTCATTTCTTAGGACTTTTACTCTTGAATTCAAGAGTTCAAGAGATGAAATTGTTTATTTTGTACTAAAATCTGTTACTCTTTTTAGGGAATAAATCTGGGGAGAGGGGTGAGGGGAAAACCATCTATTTTCTCCAGCTATTTGAGACAGTAACAGTGTATATAGAAGTTATGGGAGTGTTCAAAAAAACAGCAGGGTGTTGTAGTTAATGGTTTTCTAGGTCTTTGATTTACTTCTGAGCCCACACCCGGTGATGAAATGTTATGACCTCTACAGACTGTGACAGCTAAGAATGTTAATGGTTTAAGGATAGATTGCTTAAAAATATGTCCTGGTAAAACTGTGTGTCTTTCTAGACCTATGTTGTTCTTTATGGATAAAACATGATAGAAATTGAGATGAATCACTACCTTTTTTTCTCCACTCCTTTCTTGCTGACTCCCAGAATGGAAGACACGACTGGGTGATAGAAACTAAGATTGAAGGAAAAAAGGAATAGACTGCCTTAAAACATATGTGAATTAAATTTACTCTTACAACTATTAAAATAGATTTTTCATTGAACGGAATTGGTGACCGTCTGAGACTATGAAAGATGTTTTTGAAATAGACCATATTTTTATCAGCCAAATGCTAAAAGCATGGCCTGAAGTTATCATCCTTAGTGACAGGCGAATAGGTGAATGTGAGATGTGTTTTGTAAGCATAAATTTACGTGGAACAAGATCAATTTGTGCTTTAGGAGTTCTCTCTGAGATAGTTCACCATGTTTACACCAAAGTATTAACTTCAATGAGAACATTCATATTGCAAAAAACACTTCAGCAATACAACGTGAGTGTTTAAGAAACTCTTTCGGTTCGTATCCCTGCAAAGGCCAGCTGGCTCAAGTTTGAAGCACCACTTAGCTAAAGAGTTCATCGAGGACAGAACTTGGGCTGTGGCTCGGGCAATACAAACACAAGATTGTTATTCCAGGCAATAGGCAACTAAAACTTTCTGCCTAAGTAGAAAGGTGGTTTGCAATTGAATCTGAAGTGCCTGCTGGTTTATTAATTCTGTCCCCAAAATTTCCATAAGGTGTCTGTGTAAAGTGATGACATTGCCAGTGGGCTTTTTTTGAATGAGAAATAATTATAGAATTTTGCAGATGATTTAAGCCAACCTGGAGAAGGACTATCCCTGTGAGAAGTACGTGCTGGCCTGGAGGAGTTGGTACTGAAAGGCCATTGCACTTTCATTTCACATCCCGGTTTATTTCACAGTCGCTTCCTGTCACAGATATGCCTTTAGCTCTATAAATAAGCAAGGTGACAATGGTACTTTCCATTATTTTCTTCTTACTAATCCAAAGTTAGATTCCCATCTCACGAGGCTTTAGATTAATATTGTTACTGGAAGAAGCAATCCTGCCTACTCTTCCTGTCCGTTCATCATCTTCCTCATTGCGTTGAAACAGCTGCTAATGCAGCTCTGTGGTGAAGAGCTCAGAGAACTAATCACTAAAGAATCATTTCCTTTTCTGATGGGGTATTTTTCTTCTGGATCAGTTCCTTCAACTCTTTACCATGTAGCTACACAAACTTTCACAGTAGCAAAAGGCAGCAGACAATACTAGATGTAGAATAAGGAAGCCAGTGGCGGTTCACGGTGACAGTGTCCAAGCTAAAAGCTTAAGTATAAAGGAAAAGAGAATGACTGTTCGTTCTCAAAAACTTGTGTATGTGGGGCAGGTGGCTAAACCTTGGATTCAGAGAGTTGAAATAACATCTTTCAAGTAGTTGTTGCTGATTTAACTTTCATGGATGGCTTGACCTAATAATCAAACGTTACAACAATTAACATGCTGCTGTAAGAAAGCACATCTCTTTTAGTAGTGCTCATTCAGAGTAACGTCTCAGCAAATATTGTACCTGTAGTGCTTGTATCTGCACGTAAAGATGTCTTCCTCTTCATTTTATGTATGCTGGTGATGGCAGATTCTATCAGAATTATGCTAATACTTGGCCATAGATGAGTCTTGCTGAAATAAAACTGAATTTGAGGTTAAGAAGAGGTAATTTATTCATTTGGAAATGATTCTGGCTTATGGCAGACTAGCTTTGAGTAAATGAATTTATTTCAGCAATTATCCTGAGATTACTGGTATGAAGTATATAAAATGTGTTTTTAAATGCTCTCATACCATTTAAGAAGCTTTCTCTCCTTTAATTGAAATGATTTCAGGGGGCTGTACCCAAAGGAAATGCCACTAAAGAATACATGGATAATTTGCAACTGAAACCAGGAGAAGTGATCTACAAATGTCCAAAGTGCTGTAGTATCAAACCTGAACGTGCACACCATTGCAGGTATGCCATAGTTTTCTTTAAAGCAGTTATGCATATTGAGTCTTGGAATAATGTTCCTGATATTTATGTGTTAATTTTTTTCCCACAAATTTCTTTTGGTATCCAGCAAACTTTCAAATTCATACATTGCAGAGTATTTTATAAATATAATATACTGTGGCCAAAAATGAATGTGGATGAGGGGAAAGAAGCAAGAGACTCAAGAGTTTTCAAAAATATTCATACTGTGGTGTCTTAAATACTTTTTGATCTGTGAATATTTTTTCCTGTGCATCATTCTAATTATTGTGCTGTACTGTTGATAATGTGGGGCAAAGGGAAGAATCTCAAGGAAATTTCTGATAGAAGCCGATTTAAGAAATGACTCCTGCCATCTTAAATTAAGAAAATACAGATTAAACTATCACTTTAATTTATGTCATCTTGTCTTTGTAGTGCGTCACTTGAAGTTATATGTGAATTGGCAGATTGTTTTCCCAAAGTTGTATGCATAATTGGTTAAATGCACTTCCGCTTATTGAAGATTCATTTTAATAAGGACAGAAGTGATGGTAGTTTGAACTTAACATGCTATGGAAGAGATAGTAAATGTATCCATTTTTAATTAATTCTCAATCTTTTGAGTTTTCAGGCACTGTGGATATGCATTGGTAATGTTTATTGTGTGAGAGTTGAATATAGATACGCCTGCATAATTAAGACTTACATAAATATGTAAATGTTTCTGGTGGCTCTCTAGGTGTGAGGAGTGATGTGTATTGAATTGTGTGGCATATTAAATTTAAGTCTTGGAGTTAGTGCCCGTCAAAAGAACAGAGTGAAGTCTTGTCAGGACTCTCAAATTATTCTGTAAATTTGTGGTTTCTAAATTAAATGTCTCAGTGTATGTCACTTATCTGTGTGAAAGTTAGGGCTGAGAAGCTATTTCCATTATAAATACTCTGCCTTGGCACTGAAATCTTGTTCTTCTCTCAGATGTGAGTGGGTTTTTGTGGCTGGAGTGTGAAGGGAAAAGTTTCATGTATAAATAGTCAAGTATAGAATTATCTTCAGTTAGTTTATCTGTGTCGTAGGTTAGCTTTTGCATGGGTGCAGAGCTCAGGCCTGCCTTCACGTGTGATGAGTTTGGTTCTGGCTGGCTTTATTAGCTCTAGTAGAGTGTTACAGAACACAGCTGTACCGATTGCTCGGCGGGCCTGGGGGTGGAAGCAGTGCAGCTGCTTTCCTGTGGCAGAACGTAAGCTGTTAATCTCTGGGGATCCCAGAACAGCTTTGTGCAGTCTGTTCACATGTCCTGGCATTGTGTTCGTGGGATGCGGTAAAGGGACACCTGAGAGCCTCTGCTGAGTGTAGGTTGGATCTTGCTAATTTTCTCGTCTCAGATTTAGGCTGGCTCCTATGGAGACTTTGCAGGTATCTTTGTAAAGTGTTTCCCACATCTTCGGTCCCGATAGGATTTACTAATTTGGAAGTAGGTCTAAATGAAGACATCTTATGTTGAACTCTACATATGGGTAAAGGAGCTGGAGTATTGGAGAGCCCAGAGCTGCTGCAGCTCCGTGGGTACATCTGGACCATCATCCACAGCAGGCACTATGTTATCTTGGATGTTCCAGTAGCCTGTGATCCCAGATAAGGCAGTGTTGATTGAAAAATTATTATTTCTTTGTGGAAGAAGAATAAAAATAAGCTAAGTAGGGACTTTGAATACATTGTTTATAGCAAGAATTTGAGTGGCATTTATTGTTAAAGCAGGGTAAGAATGGGTAGTGTCTACAGCAAAGGAGATCTATGATACTTTCAAAGGGTTTGTTTTCACTAACCCCTTTGTTCAGGGACCTAGCTTTGCACGTCTTGTGACCTGTTTTACTTTTCTGTGCCTTGGTAAAATACATTGCGAGATGTTCCACATAAGGGCAAAGGATGCATTTTAATGCTTGCACAGTGCATAACTGGCTTCACAGAACATCTGAAAGAGAAAGCCAGAGCCTGAAAGTGTATGTGCTATCCTTTCGTAAGCCTGCTGTCATGTTTTTCTCAGCAGTTGGATAGCTGGTTTAATTGCCTTTCTTGCCGTTACTCATACAGTACATGCTACTAGTAGTTGCTGTTAACTTTTCTTAAGTAAAACAAAGGATTTTTCTGTAATTTTTTGAATGTTGAATACATACTGCATGGACCAGCTACCAGAATCTGATTCTTTGCCATAGATTTAGCACTGCAGAAATGTACTGAATAGAAAAAAGGTTTGATTATACTGCCAACATTTTAGTGGCTCACAAACCCATTCCAAGGACATTAAAAGGATGGTCTAGTCCCAAGTAGTCAAAGTGGCAATTTGCTGATAGAAGAGACTTGAAAATGGAAATTGAAGCTAGTGCCTGTTGGGAAATAGTTACGCTCAAAGCCACAGTGCATGGTTTGAGTAGTAAATTATTAACAGAAGAGGCTTTTATGATGTAATTATGAAAATTGTTGTGCAACACTGCAGCAGTTCTTCTGAGGAAGAAAAATAGTTTCATAATACACATTAGTGATAGGAAAAAGAACAAAAAACCTTTATTTACAGCTAAATATCTAGCCTCAGTGAAATACATTAAACTGAGATTTTACTAAGCAGTTAACATTTTCAGCAGAAGGAAGAGGCTTGTCCTGAGTGAATGCTATTTCATTTTCACTAAAGGAGCACAGCTGTCATTATTTCTAGCCTATTCTGAGTGCCTGCGTTTGCATGTGGGGAACTGTTATTCAGAATCAAGTCACTGAGATGTTTGCATCGGTCTTCCTGTGAATTTCTGTTATCCAGACCAATTTCTCTTAAGCCATTAGCTGCGTCTTTCGGAATGTTATCTTTGGCATTCAAAACTGTAATTGCACCTGCAGTTGCTTGAGTGCATTTCAGCAGCAGTGCCAAGCTGGAGAAGACCTTCCTTTGTCCACAGCTCCTTGTTCTCACTACCATATTGCTCCTTCCTCTTGCGAGGCGTGAGTGTTCATGCACAGTGAAATGACCCCGGTTACAGCTAATGGAGTGACTTCCCCAAGCTCTTGCCGCATGAACATCTGTGCTTGGACAAAAGAAGGAATAGAATACAAGTAATGGGGGTAGGAAGAAGGCAGGACCGTTGTTTTCAGCATTGCTGCGAGTTTGTTGGCTGGAAGTGTTGGCTGTATCATGGTGTGAGATTAGAAATGAAGGCAGGGTTCCAGACATCTGATGTCTTGGAGAGCTCTGCGTGGGCTTGTGAGAAATACTGAATGAGCAAAAGTGTGTCCTGCCCACCTCACATCCTCCAGTGTTTGGCTTCATTGAGTCTGGAAATGATTTTACTCAGTACTTCACATTAATATTCTTTTTAGAGTGATAGTATCAGTTCTGTGTTACTTTAGGAGGCTTGCATGGTTGTGGTGACTGGAGTTAGCTCACCTTCCCACAGAGCTTGGGAAATTAATGAGAGGCTGAACTTGCAGCAGGCTGTGAAATGAAAAACTCTTGGAGAGCCTTCTGAATGCCTTCTCTGGAGTGATACCCGTTTCTTCTGCACTAGAGAATGGTTGCGGTGTTTAGTTATGGTATTGGGATTTTCATGTGTAACTGGCAGTATTTAAAAAGTAGTTTGCCTCAGAGGATGAATCATCTTTAATGTCCATAAAACAAGAGGCAGTGGGAACGTAGGGGCTGGGTTATGATAGCTCAGGGCAGAGGGAGCTTCAGAGGAGCAGTGGGAGATTTGGGATTCTCTCCTATAACCTGCACAGGAGTATGTTCTGCCTCTTGCTGAATTACCTTTTAATCATGCATATGCAATGACTTAAAAATTATTTTATGCCTTGGAGCATTGATTTCCGCTACAACCCCCACCCCCCCTTTCTTCACTCTGGTGACAATCATCTGGCTTTACTTCACGGCTTGTCACTGCAGCACTCATAGATATTGGACATAAATAAGCATGCGTTAAAAACAAAGGGTTTTGAATAATAGTGCCTGCATTTTTTAGGCTTATTTGGCTTTGTAACTACTGAAATGAAAATGCTTAATATTTTGGATGTTCGGCAGGCAAATCTGGAACATTTTGAGTGTGTGGCTATCTTAAGCACAAAGCTAGGAAAATGAAGTATCAGTGTTGAAGATTATCATGTTTTTATTGAATCTTTCTGTATTTTGTGTTTGATAGTGAATAAGCGACTATAAGAACATTTTGATTAATCTTTATGTTAGCGTTATGTAGGGGTTGCTGTGTTACTTTTTATCCAAGGCTGTGTTGCTTGAAGTCCCTATTCTCTGGACCCTCTAGACCATAACCAGAGCACCTAGGTTCTATTGTATATAGGATGAGTGTTTTGACAACCTGGCAAGGTAGATATCTAGCTGGCCAACTTGGCAACAAAACTTACTTTTACGGTATCCTGAAGTGAACTGCCTTCATTATAATACTAAAAAACACACCCACAGGTCAAGATGACCCTCACCCAGGTGAAGACCCTTCCCCTGCGCAAGCGTAGTAACAGAAGAGAATGACACAGCAGATATTATAATTACATGTAAATCACTACTCAATGATTGTAACTGGGAGTGTACTACCTTTTAATTTTTGTGTATAAATGTAACGGTGATCTCAGCATAGGTGTGCTTGATTTGTGGAAATTCCACCTTGCACCCGGCGCCGCACTAAAGAATGCCTGCTTTCTAAAACTCCAAATCAAGTCTTAGAGAGTTTTTCATCTGCCGACTTACGGTAACATCAGCATGTCTTAAGCTATTGATTTACCGAAGAACTTCAACGCATGTTGCAACTGTTCTGTTTCTCCTGTGTAACTGTTCATGTTTGACTGCAGACGGACCTGAATATCAGTGAAATGAGCCCTCTGGTGCTGTATGGCCTAGCGGATGTAAAATGGACTTACTGAAATATTTGACTTTTCTTTCTGGTAATAATCTTTACTCAAAACTGGGCAGAAACTAAGCAATTAATTGCAGAACTAGCAAAGAACAGTAGTGTTTAAGTATTCATTAACAGGTAGGCAAAGAATGTGTGCTGCTTATAGTTTTAATATTTTTGTTTTATGTTGAGGAAGTGAGGCGTGACATTGTAAGCTGTTCTTTAGTTGAGATTTTGATTGCATATGTTTAGAGTTATATGGCCAGTTGAAACCTCAAGATTGACAATTTCTCTCTTGAAGATGTGAATTTCTTTTTTTTTCCCGATTCACAAACTAAATTTACAACTTGAAAGTCTGTAAACTTGAAATAATTACTCTGTCTGTAAAAGCTTCTCCAGAAGGGAAGGGGTTTTTTAATACTGAATCTAGAAAGAACTGAAGCGTTGCTCGTTCAGTGCCACGAGTGTCTAAAACAAGTTACTGTATGCACTTGATTGTGTGTTTGGATATGCAATGATTCTCATACTCTTTTTCTTACGTGAAGATGATCTTATCTACACAGTCAGTTTTGTAACAACCAAAAGCTGAGTTGTAAGTGAGCAAATAGTTTCTTTAAAGAAATGCAAATAAAATCACTGTTTGCAGTTCGTCAAGAAAGATTGCAGCACATCATCTTATGACCACTGGATACCCTTGTTTCTACATTAAAATGTAAAGTATTGTTTCTCAACAGAATTCTCTCTTCCTTTCCTTTAGTATTTGCAAACGATGTATTCGAAAGATGGATCACCACTGCCCGTGGGTGAATAATTGTGTGGGGGAGAAAAATCAGAGATTTTTTGTTCTGTTTACGGTAAGTGAAAATCAACAGCAGCTTGATCTCAGTATGAATCTACCTTGATCATAACAATTTTGGTTGTGCTTATTAGTGACTAATGGCTTAAGGACACAAATGTGTTGGTTTTTTTTTTCCCTTCTGTGCAAGATATTCTCCAAGCAGGAAGATACTTCTACTCATACACATTTTAATCTGTTTTGTAAAGTGCTGTTATTTTAAACTATCTTAATTTTGCTGTGTTTTATATAGTAACAATTAGTGAAATGGTACTGTGATTTAGGGAGGTATCCTCAAACTGTCATTGTTACCCACATTTTTAGAGTCAAGCTTAATTAGAATTTGTTTTTACATCATTGTATTGAATTAAAAATTGAAATAGGAAAGTATATTCGCTGTGCAGTGGTGAAGGCTGGCTGAAAGGAATGTCTGGTTTACTACCTGGCAGCAGTCAAAAGTAAGCACTCTCTCTTATTTCCAGATGTATATAGCCCTAATTTCAGCTCATGCGCTCATACTGTGTGGGTTTCAGTTTTTCTCCTGTGTCCGAGGGCAGTGGACTGGTAAGCAAATACTTAACTTTCACTGTCATAATCTAGCAGATGTTAAGGGAAAGTCGTAACGTTCCACCTATTTCAGTCCCATGTATGAAATATTACAGGACTTTGATCTTTTTAAAGTGAGGTCCTGAAAATGTTTCATACCTGTTTACCCATCTCTCTCTTCCGCCGCGCTCCCCCCCCCACCCCCCGTAGTCATTCACTGTAAGAGCTGTGGCTGTCAAGGGCATTCTCACTCCCTTTCCACATAGTAAAAAAATTACCACCTCTGTAATAGGAAGGAAACAGATAGCTGGTCCTCAAACCACCTCAGCACTGTGTTATCTGAAGCTGCCAGCTGGGCTTTGTGTGTCACACTGCAGTTCTGTGAACAATAGCTGAAACTTAAACAAATTTCTCCCTCATTCTGTTATGGAGCCAACTGTGGGGCTCCTGTAGAAAAGAAATTTCCTAAACTGTCCCAGTTGTTTGTTCAGGGCTCTGACTTGCATTTCTTAACGTTCCAGTGTGCCAGAGCTCATTTAGATCTTGTGCTTTTGACAGAAGATGGTTAATCATATGTTCTTCTTGGTACCTGAAGCAACAGGGGAATCCATGTGACTGGTTTTTGCTGGATGTTCCATTAAATGGATGGATTCTTAGTCCTTTTTTTACTTGAAACATTCTGCTTCCTGTATACTATTTCATTTCTTCTTTGTTTAACTATAATTGAGCTAATCAGTTGATCAGGGGATCTCCAGAGAAGTGACTGTAAGTGTAAATCAGAACCTGATTGCTTTGTGTGGTGAATTAAAAAAAATACTAAAGCAGTCACAGCAAAATGGAACATCTGGATTAACTAGGAAGTCAGAGCTGTCAGTGGTGATGGTTTTTACAGCGTTTGTCATGCATGAAACTTCAAGCTGCGCTCATCTTTATATATGTGCAGTTCCGAGTACTTAGTCTCATGTGCAAACATTTATTTGATATCCTTGAAATATTGAGGCAGGATTGCAGTAATGCAGTGCTATGTGCTGTATAGGAAGCCAAAAGTGTTACTTCCTTAAAATCCTTTATTTCCTTGGGCAGCAAATAAAGCTGCTGCAGTGCTAGAAATTAAAAGTTTGTTATAATTGTGAAATGTTGTTTCAGGTGCCAGATATTTAGCTTTTATTGCTGTCTGTTGAAGAGGGGATGTCGCAGTATGAACGTGCTCTATAGATTTTTTTTTATTTTTTTTCATAACTACATGTCGTTTTCACAGAATGCAGTGACTTCTCCCCACCCGTAACTGTGATCCTGATGATCTTCTTGTGCCTTGAGGGTTTTCTGTTTCTCACTTTCACTGCAGTCATGTTTGGCACCCAAATCCACTCAATATGCAATGATGAAACGGTAAAGACCTCTACTTCTGTATGCTCTAACAATTTTTCTAGGAAGATGTGGTTAGATGTTGTTTTATTTGCTTGAGGGGAGGCTCTTATTTTGGAGAAAACCCCAAATCTGAAATAGCTCGTCATTTTTATTTTCTACAGTTGTAAGGATTGAAATACTTTCTTGGGGTTTGCTTTCTAACAGAAGTTCTTGCGTTACTTGCTTTTCTGACATAAATTTTATAATTAGGTTTTCAATTACAAAGATTGTACAGCTTCTGACTTCAGTCTGGACTTGCACTTCTCAACTATCACAAACTCCTGATATGTGTCACGAGAGAAGTCTGCTTTTCTCAGGTTTACACTTAAACTAGCTATCTTGTATCAAGCCTTCACGCTTTCATAGAATCATAGAATCATTTGGGTTGGAAGAGACCTCCAAGATCATCGAGTCCAACCGTCAACCCAACAACACCATACCCACTAAACCATGTCCCTAAG